CTCCAGATGTTTTGGACTGCAAGTTCCAGGACTCCTCACCATTACCCTTGCTGGCTAGAGCTCAGGGGATTCATAGGCCTAAAAGAAAACCAATGTGGCATGGTGGTTACCTTTTTGGGCTGGGACTAGACTCTAGTCCTCATTCAGTCATGAAGCAATTGGATGAGTTTGGGCCAGTCACTGATCTTTACAGGGTTTGGTTAGGATGAAATGGAGAAAAGAAAGACCTCACCAGCTACCTTGGATTCCTTGCAAGAATTCTGGGGCCTAAGTATAATTTAAAAATTAATATAAATGCAGCAGAATGCTACTGTTTTTGTGTTTAGAACATAGTGCAAAGCTGTGGGTATCAGGTTTGCCTGAGATACTGGTGTCAGGAGACACTACCCTTGGCAAGTGAAGTCTCTTATGCCTATAGTCCTCTTGCAAGTCCATAGAAGCCCTTCCATTTGTATTATTCCTTGGTTGATTTGAGGTAGATACCGTACATGGGATGATCCAATTTGCATTTGTAGTCATCCCTGTAAATACAATGAAATGGGAGGCCACACACACAAACACATATACCCCCTGGGCTGCCTTTAGAAACTCCTTGATGTCACTTCCTTCCTCCGTCAGCAAGTGAGTTTTCCTTTAATTTTCAGCCCCAGCTGTCTATGCTGTCAACACAAAGTTATTAAAATTCCTTTAAAGTGAATCAAAATAGCCTAAAAACAAATGTACTGGGAAGCAGGAAAGCATCAGTATTCAAAGTCCACAAAGCTTTGAGCAAAATAGAGTTGATCCAACTAGAGATTGCCAACATTGGTCTTTCCTAGCATCTTGTACATCATTAAAAGATGTTTAAAACACATACTCCTTAATCTTTTATTGCCAAAGAGAGAGAGAGAAAGAGAAACTCTTATTTGGTTAAAAGAAAATTAGCCTCAAGATGTGATTTCAATTGTCACAATGTTCCTAGTGAACACAGTATTGCCTACTGAAAGTCTGCCTAAATAATGTTTAATTTTCCTTCTTGAAGCAAAAAAGTAGCACTTGTATATCTACAAACAAAATAGTATACCATTATGCAGGAAGTAATTACCATAACGAGGCAATTCTCTGTTGTAGCACTCAAGCAATAAGTAATCTTGATCCCCCCGCTCCCATCTTTTAGGAAACTATTGCAAGGGATCATTAGAAAAGTTAGTACTTTAAAGTCTAAACCGGTTAAAATAAAGTTGCATTGTAGTCCTAAACATTTTGCCTGCAACTGATTTGTATGGAAACCTAAATCCGAATTCAAGGTAGTTCAGACCATTTCTGTGGCTTTCATTCTGGTTATGATCAACTAGCTGCATATCATGTCGGGACTCCCTTCATCAATATACATACAAACTTGACTGCCTTTTGTCTGTGCAACTCTGGGTCATCTGTGCAAGTCTGTTAATCAAATTTGATCAGACTTGACCATTTTCAGGGAAGAAGAGAGAAATGTTCCCTCAGGAGGTGCAACTGGCACAGCTTACTTGTACAAAGAGACAGCACACCTTTAGAAACCTTTCCCATGGCATTAAGATAATCCTTTCTGAACAAGAGGAACATCATTTATTTATTACATTTATATCCTGCTGAATGCTTACAGCAGCATACATTGTTCTTCCTCTACGTTGTTATCCTTGTAACAATCTTAACTGATAGGATCGATTGAGAGGTGGCCACTGTCCCAAGGACAGCCAGTGAGCTTCATGGCTGAGTGAAGAATTAAACCTAGCTTTGTCCAATTCTGCTTCAACACTCTGACCACTGTGCCACACTGACTTGCATGCATACCCAAAAAAGTATCACATGACACTATTGAATCCGATCATTGGTCCATCTTGCACAGTGGAACTACTCTGACAGGAGCTCTTGAAGTAAAGTTCCTTTGAAAATAGAGATGCCTAGAAATCTCTGGGATCTTCTGTATTCAGAGCATGATCCACTGAAATACAGTAGAAGGAGAGTTTAAAAGGTATTTTTTAAAAATTGAGGGGGCTACTGGCAATGCAAAATGTTTGTTCACCCATGCAGAATTTATAATACATGCAGATCCTGGATATGGAGACTCTGGGATTGTCACCAGTAGTTCCACTATATATGTGGGCTATCCCCCATTCTACATACATGAAGGAATGTATGCACAGATCTGAGTCTTCTGTCAAAATGAAGAGGGTGTTTCCTTAGGACTGGGAAGTTTGACTTATATACATCACTGGAACCATCTAAGTGTCTCTATAATCAAGGTGCAAATGGACTGATAGAACTGAAGATAGGCCAGGGTCCAGGGTACCCTTTTGCTAGAGGAAATGACCACAAACACAATTGGAAGTTACAACTTCCAAGAACAGCAACAAACTAGCTGAAATTAGCATTACAAGTGTGGAGCACATCAGTGGAGCTCCCCAAATTTTAGCTAATTTCTAGGACTGTTATAAGAAGCACTACCCTCCCTTTGCACTAGTGCGTATTCCTCCTATTGCAACTTAATGAGCTCATAATCTAAATCCTGATATGGCTTAATTTCATTTGATCACATTATATCTGACAGCTTTTCAAATCAGTCTATTAATTGTAAAGTTATTGAGCATATGAATAGTGTATAGAATGGGCTCAGAAGCAATGGCAACTTTAAAAAATGCCTTACTGAATATAGATCAAGGTGATACTAGCCCTGCAAACACCTATAAATCTTTACATCTGTTAAGCACCCTTCCCAGTAAAAAGGTGGTATTACCTATGTAATCATCATCTAAGGCTCTCCTCTGAGTAACTCCTCTGAGGAACAAGGAAGAGGTCTTTCTTGACCTCCTGACTATGGACTTCTTTCCACAGAAAGCTGCATCTGGTGCCAACATTGTCCTCTTTGCAGCACTAGATTAAGACTTTCCTCTTCCCCCAGGCATTCTACAGCATTCCTCATAGTTTTATTGTTAATTGGGTTTAACTTGTTTTCAGGCAGTTTAAAATTCTTCTGTGTTAAAGGTTTTATATTAGGTTTTACTATGCTATGCTATGAATCATTCTGTGAGTTTTGGCTGTTGTGCAGTAAGAAATTTAAGAAACGAATGAATATGCTGCACCATGGAATGGTAACACATCTGAATCAGGTAGAAAAGACTTTCAGTTTGCATGATCACCTCACTCCACTATGACTTACTTAAACCCTGGTGGGCCGTGGTATGTGGCAACCACCTTTTTAAAAATTCAAACCACAGTGGGTGGCCACATAGCTCGTTGTGTTAGGTGAACTCAGTGAGGGCAGTTAAACAATGGGCTGTTATAGGATTATATGAAGGAAGTTTGACCTTCACATCATTGCCTTCACTAGGTTTGCATGGTACAGTAATACATGCCCACCCACCATAGCTTAAATATTCAAAAAGACAGCCAGTACATGCCACAAGCCATGGTGGCCTGAATAAGCCACACTAGGTTGTGGCAATTGTGTGAACTAGCCCTTTTTCATGAGAGAGTTAATCCATTTGTCTGAATGCTGAAAAATATGTAGTTCTGTAAATACCAAGGCAAATCTTCAGCCTTCTTTGTTTGAACAAGAACAAAAGTGAGAGCATTTGTCAATGCCTTTAAACCTGCCAGTTTGATAGTTTGCCTCATGTGGCTCCACAGCAACCCCTCTGGCTACACAAACGGTGACACTGACAAGCTGTAAAGGGAGTGCCATCCACATATCCTCAGCCCAGAAATCCGTGATTGATGGAGTTCAACTGAAATTCCCACAAAGGATGTGAAAACCTTTCAGTGCAAGTCTAATACAGAGCATATCCCTTTGTTGTCTTAATTTCCAACCTATTTTCCATTATTTAAATTGGTAGTATTAGTAGGATCAGAGGAAAATAAAATAGTCTGTCTCTGCCTTCTCCTTTCTTAGTGACCCTGCTGGCTTTCCCTTGTCATTTCTGATAAAGAGCAAGATTCCTGTGTCTGTCAAACAACTTCTCCATCTTAAATACCTCCAATGAGGTGCAGTCATTTTCTGTTATAGAATGCTATATTTATTAAATTGATAATTGCAAAATATAGCAGTAGTTCTGTGTAACTTGTATACAGACTAATTCCATTTGCTTCTGTAGCTGTTTCAGGGCTGGAGTCCTGGATAATTATGGTAAAAATATGAGTATGTCATAGCAGAATATGCCAAGAAATCTCCTTTTGCAGACATGCCTCTAGCACAGTAGAACCTCAGTATTCTTGCAAAGGAAATATTCCAGGAATCCACTGCGGAACATGCATTGCTAGAAGTAACTGACCAAAAAGTCTGTATTTTATTGCTGCTATTATTGCAAAAGTTATTTGTAGTTGGAGCATCCGCTATCAAAGAGGAATAAAAAGGTTAAGAAGTATGGAGAAAGAAATATCTGGGGCACAAGCATTTCTTATGCTGTAAAATATAACTATTGTGCTGTTAGAAGTCATTGTAGAGTATGTCTGCTCAACCCATAGTTCCTCCATGTAAGAATGTTTAAAGATGTCTGCATACAATGCAGATCAAGAGATTCAACCAGAAGTAGTCCACAAATGCTCACCTGTTGGGACTAAGCCTTGTGTATTGTCATTTTTCTTACACTATAGGTTGGTGAATATTTTAGGGCTATTTAGTACTGCTGCCAGTATAGGTAATTTGAGCATTTCTGTAGGCAGACAATGGATTGGAATCCAAACTAAGTGAGTTGACCTGTGGTTTCATTGAAATCAATAGGATGTTGGTCATTATTTGAGTCCCATAGATTTCAGTGGGAACCAAGTTTGAGGAACCTGTATCCCCACCCAACTGTAACTAGTTAAACTGTAACCAGTCTATGGCAATCCCATATATTCTCAATTATTCTTTACAGAAGGTCACTATAATTTGGGTTACCCTGCATTCTACCTTCAGTTTTATTACTTTTTCTTGCTCTTGTTTTGTTCTGAATAGGATTACTTCATTGAAATAATATCTTCATGTTGATTTTCTCTTTCAGTGTCTGAAGAAAAATTACAGCAGCACACAGTTAATCAGGTATTTTAACTGCTTTTACATATCTTCTAAAATGCAATCCTATAGATGCTCAAACAGAGAAAAAACTGACAACCCCCAGCATTCCCTAGCCAACAGTTCATGAGATGTACAAATTATGCATCAAAGGTTTAGGAAAATATCCGTTCAATAATTTATAGACAGCTCTTTATGACTTTGCCCCTGTAACTTTCCATTTAAATACATGTATGCATGTTCTCTTTAAAATGCAGTTTTAAAAACCAACTAAAATAAAATAAAAAACAATACTAATATAATAAGCTGTTTAGAAGTGTTTCTGTCCACATGACAAGTAGGACTTTGCCTTGATTAAAACTGTTATTTAAATGTTAATAAAAGCAATAGAAACATTTAAGCTGAACACTTCACAGAAACAAATTGATTTGGCTTTTCTGAACAAACAAAATCTTTGGCATTTTTTAAATTTTTACAGTGGAACTTACTATCATATTCAAAACTCAGAACAAACCATTTTTAGTACAGATTTGGATAAACAAATATGGATTTGAAGAAAAGAGCACTCACTGAAACCAGTGGATTGGGTTGGTTCTTCATTCTTGTTTGGCCTTAGATTCTCGGCTCCACATTCAACAGTGAGGCTAAAAGCAACTTCTTGGGAATGAGACAAAAAGGTGAAATGCACAGTCACTAAATTACATAAGATTCCCTCATCCTTGTAGCCTGGATAGAAAAGTCAGCAGCAGCCTTTTATAATTTTGTTCATGCTTCAGTAGAAAACTAATCAACATGCCAATAGTTCAGAGATGCTGCTAGATCCATCTTTGTCACTGGAGGCTTAGTAGTAGAGGCCTCCAGACTTCAGCAGTCTGGAGGTCCATTATATTTATATAATTTTTCCTCTCAAGGAACTCAAGGCTTACATAATTCTCCTCCTCCCCTCAATCTTATCCTCACAACAACAGCCCTATGAAGTATGTTGGGCTGAAGAGTCTGAGACTGGCCCAAAGTCACTCAGTGAGCTCCTTGGCTGAACAGGGACTAGAGCTAAGATCTCCTGAGTCCCAGTCCCACACTCTCATTACCGACTTAGGATGATGTACTATTGATTCCCATAGCCTAAACACAGTGATTTATGCACTACAGCAATCTCATGATTAGATTGCTATACACTGCTTCCACAATATGCTTTACACAGGGCTGCCTTTACATTATTGAAAACCCTGGTAAGGCAAGATCCCTGATTTGTTCAACCAAACATGGTTGCATACTCTCCTTCAGACCTTAGTGCTCTGCACACAAAGCTATTTGAGGAGCCCATGTGTGTTGGGGTACTGGGTTACATACCCAATCCCTGCACAGTTTCAGCCCTCACATATGCAGGTGAATGGCTGCACAGAGCTACATTGTTGTACCACTGTTGCTCTTTCCACAGTTCCCCATACACACACACTCCCTGCCATTCCCAGTGGAACTGTATGTGTGCAGAAAGTTTGTACATTAGTAAGTATCCCTGAGGACTAGTGCTCCACTGCTCTTCCTCAGTGCTGCCCACCAGCAGCCACCTAATGTAATTAATGTATGTATTGCAGAAAAATTAGGTATGAGGACCACAAAGCAAACTAACAGAAATAGCATTTTACATAATATAGTCCTTGCATTGTGACATCCTTATTTATTTGCAACTCATTCCGCTCCACATCCGATCAAGGCTGCCTTCTTCTTGAATGATTATTTCTCTCCGGGAACTGAGAGGGGAGCAGTTTCAAGGCACTCCTGCTGTGAATGTCAGCTGAACCTGGGGAGAGTTACCTGAGGCACTTGTGAGGAGCTCCACTGAGCCTGTTCTTGCATCAACAAACTCAGCGCTGTCATAGTGGTTCAGCATCTCTTGCTGCAAGTTTAGACTCTCCTTCTCAGGTAGCTGCAGTAGAAGACCTCTGGTCACTTTTTGTTACCTCTTCCCAATATCCTCAAGAGTAACTTTGAGCTTTGGTCAGAGTCCTAGCAAACATGTGGGTTTGAAACAGTTCCTGAATAATAACAGCCTCCTGGCTTTTGATGTCTTCTGTTCCTCTTGCTGAAATTGTTCAGAGGTACATTATGTATTACTCATAATGTAGCACATATAGTACATTATAATGTTTACTGTAGTACAGCTGCTATGAGCTACTTTTTGGACCCATCGGCACATTTGACAATTTGAGAAAAAAGTCCTGACAAAAACAAAATGACTGCCATGGAAGGTGGACTAGTCACAACAGACTGAAGATGGAACACAAGGTAGAGATGGAGAATGAACCCCAACATGCCAAACAGTTCCTTTGAGCCACCTCCGTTCTCTGTGCTAAGGCCCTGCCACTCTTTAGCATTCCTAGTTGCTTTTCCTTGGTGTGTAGACACGCTGCAGAGGAAAGTGTTGGCCTGCATTTTCCTGACATCTTCCTTTCCTAATTATGTCTCTGAAATCCATGATAAGCCCAAATACTTCCATAGAAAATGAAGTTGGGAACAGCTTCATGCCCTCACTTTGCTTTGAAGCAATCCCAGTTGCTGCTAAGAAAACATGTTACTTGAAATCGGGAGAGGGTGCCTTGGGCACCAAGAAAGCTGTCCAGGGGCACACTGGTGCCCATGGGCATCACATTGCCCTCCCCTATTATATAAGATGGAATTCTTGCTGCACAGAAATCTAATCGATTATTTAAACAAATCAATGACAGAGTTAAGGCAATTTTGTGTTGGCCCCAGCTCCAAACCCTGGACACTTCTATTGCCTTGCAATGAAACTTGCTAGACAAATATC